ACTCACTGTGTAATGCAGGTGTTTTATCCAGATTACCTACTTTCTTTGCGTGAGATGACGTTTGAATGCGATCCCTATGTCGGTAGGACAAATCAAGCAGAGGTGACAGGATACCTGGTTGAAAAATTCAGCTGTAAAGCGCTGTTGAGTATAAAAACATTATACACCGTATTGTGCGTTAATTCTCAGATTTGAATTTCGAAAGAGGAGTTAAACTCGATCCCCATGTCAGTAAGGCAAATCAAATCAACAAAGCTTTGTTAACATTTCATGCTCTTCAGATCTCATCGCCATTTAATTTTCCATGTGCATCTAAAATTTTGAGCGATTTTACGATTGCCATTCTGCTGTTCTTTCAAATTGTCAACATTACGCTCTAGAAACTATCAATTTTTTTCGGATTGAGAAGTACATAGTCTGTGATATTGGTATTTAATCGCACATCTTGAGGCCTTCTCATAGTGATGCAGCGCTTCACACACGGCAACTATTCTGTGTGATTCTGTGATTGATAGATAGGAAATTACTGTGCCATTTCTATTTGTTTCAATAATCACTATCTTTACTAACATCGACTGTGTGTCCCATACGTGACCCGGTGCACTGAGGCTGGTATATTTCGCTCAAAATGTAAGATGAAAACAGCATCTACCAAACAGTTGGAGGGACTAATCTATAAAAGTGGCTCAAAAGTTGTGCAATTATTGTCAGTTTATTTCAGGAGAACTAAGTAGTTGCTGCTCATGAGAGTGAAAATAGCTGTTAATTTCGGTTACGGCGCTTATCAGCTATAGTGGATCTGCTTACAACACTATTCTTCCAAATCTCTATCTGTCAGAGAGTTATACGGACAATGAAAACAATGTTTTTATAAGAAAGCAGTTAAAATATGGATATATTTATTTCATGAATGGAGCAACCGCGAGTTATTGAGAACTGATAGTGTTATGATCACATTCTTTGATAACCGAAATGCCCAGCAAATGTTTCTTATTATCTCTGTAAGGCTCATTATTTTGCACTTCTCTCAATGATCTTAAAATAACGAGGCTTTGAATCAAGCAACATACAAAATCTTTGTATTGCCTAGCGGGTGATAGTGTCCGTAGCCTTAGTTTGTTCTTATACATGCAATATGATATTTTCATTGTAAAAATTTACAAAACGTCAAACAGTTAGTGATTGTGAAACTGTGTGGTTATTCAAATATCTAGTGTAGATAACATACAGTAATTTTGCCATATCGATTTTTCTGATGAGTGACAAAAATTGTTGTCACACAAAGGCCTTATATGGTAGTCTTAGATTTTTCTCGGTCTTAGATTTTGATCGCATCAAGCCAAAATCAACTCTCAACATACTCATCGCTTTTATATATGTGTTTCCTACTGAATGATCAAGTGGAGATCATCGAAAAGAGATCACATAGGCTCATAATGCACCTTACCCGTCAAAACAAGTCATATTTACTAACTCATATTACGCCAAGATTTACGGAACTCGGAAGTTAGTCAATATCAAGAATTACCAGAAACTCAGGCACCACTTCAGAATGAATTTTTTCATTCTTTACTCACTTTATTTTTATTTGGATTTTTTATACTTTTTTCTGTTATTTCTGATTTAAGAAGGGACGTTGTATGGTGTCAGTCTCACTCTGTTTTCACATTCCCCCCTTCAAGTGCTAATCCCGTTACTAAGCATAGTTCCTCTGTTAAGATATAAAAGTATTTAGCAGATATAATTCCGTTGTTGAAGGAAATATTCTTCCTGTATAGAGCGGAATGGCACAGCTGAGATCCCAGAGGCCATTTGAGGTAACATAGATATGAAGACAAGTGATGTGTGATCAGAATGACTCCAAACAGGTGATAGTGAATAAAACCAATATCCAGATTTGTAAGCCAATGTATAGAGATTTTGTGTTAGGCAGGATTCGAACTCGCACTTCACCCTACCCGGGAGTGCGTGCTCTTCCTGTTGCACTACCCGTTGCACTCACTTTGCCACATCACTCTTCATCATTGAATGTAATCAAACATCATATTACCGTTATAACGGCTAAATGAAAATAATTCTGCTTGGAGTATTTGGGTGAAGTAGATAACCCAAAAACTGGACGTATGGTATACTAATAACTAGTGGCTTTTATCTAAGCGTGCACAGCTTTTGTCTTGATGTTTGTCCGAAAAATTTCAGTTCTCTACCAACTTCAGCTATCATCACGTAGTGGTACTATCTTCATGATCTTCAAGTAGTTATTTCGTAATATATATATATATATATATATATATATATAAGTGCGCAGCGGCGCTTCTGACGAAGTGTTTGAAGGTACACTGCAACAGGGTGAGATGGATGGTTTGATTCGACGACTATTTCTTGCCAAGCTATCCATCCCTCAAGAAAAGAGTATTCGACGGGTTGATATACAGATTCTGATATGCTAGCAGCACTGGTCTAATAGATCAATGGCCCACTGAGAGTCATTGTGAAGGCCACAAATTCCATAAGTGTCTTTAACAATGCTGAATAGGTTAACACATGGCTCATACTTCAGGGATTCAGATGCCAGAAGTTTCATTCTTTATTTATGTGCATGTGAAACGCGCAGTTAATTTTTTAACTATTAATCTGTTTTCGTATGCAACCGCTTATTCACAAAGTAATTTATTTAGACTGAAAGCTTAATAACTCAGCCTGTAGGAGCACTGGCGGCCTTGTCCGCACAGCCAGTCTGTAAATTGCTGTTTCAACGGACTTAGCAGATCAGCACTCTATTACTTCTGCTACTAAACCACATAACGCCCTAGAAGTGAGTTTTGCAACTGCCATATCTTATCGCGCTTTCTAATTCTGAACCCGCGGATCCATGACTTGCAAAAGACAGCTACTTTTTCTCAAGATACCCAAAGGATGAGCGTATTATTATACTATTAGTTTAGCACAGTTTTGATATACACCTTCACTGTAGCTAACACTTCGGCGCTTGTGCATCCTTCAAAACCGATGAGATTTATGTCGTGTGGTCACAGCACCTGCTTCCTAACAATGATTTCATACTTAATGGACGAAAAATGAACACATGTATAATTTCATACCAACTACCACATGAACCCACACCTTGAAGCTCAAAGCAGTGCAGAAAATCTTTCTAATGTGATTCGTAAAACATGAACACAATGAACTCAACCTGCCATTTTCTAGAGCGACACTAGTGTGACTGTCATCGCCTGATTAGCATAGTGCTTCACAGTATTCCATGTAGTTCTACAAACGCTCGTGATTTTGCACTTTTTCAACGAATGAAATTCAGTTCAGAGTGTTTGTGCCAAATATTATGATTCTTTATTCTGCTAGCTGAATCTTTTACAAATGTTTACTCTACATAGAATGCATCAATTCAAATGTCTCATCATACAAAGCAACCAAATAGGAAGCAATAAAATATTCGTAGTAATCAAATTATTCAGCTCAATTTATCGATTTGCTCTATTATTCCGCTTTCAAATGGGTTTTTGGTCATATAAATGTACAGACACCCTTGTCGTTAAAGGAGTCGGCAACTCTAGTTATTTTGAAGACTTTCTATACAACGACTAGCTGCAAATTTGGTAAGGCACAATAACTTTAGCTAGTAGGAGGAAAGAGAGTAGCGTAAATGCTAGCAACTTGGAAGGTTCGAAGATAGTGACCGTGATATTTTTTGATGATCGCGAGATATGAAGAGGTTTCACAGAGTCAAAGATTATCAACCTTTACCTCTAGCTCGCAATCACCACCTGCCAAATCACGATGCCATGGAAGAGATTATCCTATTTTTACTCTTCATATTAGATTTGTAGCAAAGTGACTACTATGCTCGGTAAAAGTTTCCCAAATTATGTATTAGCTCTATACAAAATAAAAACTTATTGCATGACTGCGAAACTGTTTCCTGCATACCTGAAAATTTTTCAAATAGAAATAGAAACCGTCTTCCCTTCAATATCAGTATTTATTATATTGGACAAATAGCACGAGCTGATGAACAAGGTTTATTTGAGCAACATTTTAAACGTCTAGTCTTCTTCGGAACCGATGACTCGAGTCGACTGCTAACAGTCGTTTGTCTGAATGTGGCCCTTCGTCTTCGTTGTCGTTAGAGCCAAATCTTCTTTGGTGTAACAATAAAAATTATGTGTCTAACTGGACCCTACAGAATGTTTTTAAAGACTCTCGTTTCAAAACAATTTCCACCGATTCAATAGAATTTCACAATGTTCCGGTCGAAAAAATTTCCGTTGCTCAACTATAACATGCTGCAGCACACAAATATTAATTGTCTAATTTTTCCGTTCGTTTTGAGTATTTTCACAAGACCACGCTTATATTTCAACATATCTTATAATTGCCATTGGGTCAACTTGTCATGTGATCTGTTAATGGGCTCTTTTACAGCCCGATACACGTTGTTTCACCCTTGACAGTCTCGTCAATCGGACAGAACCCTTTCTTCTTTCAGTCAATCCTCTCCGGGTGCTCCAGTCCCCATATTAGAGTATGCGACGACGAATGATTTGACACTGCACTGCCGTCGAGTGAAAATCACCGGATCGGCAGTGTTGCACCCTTGATTGATCTTCGTGTAGAATTTTAGGATAAATTATATTGGTATAATATATATTTATACATAAATGAAGTAAATAAAAATATATATATATCTCATGATATATTTATACTAGGAAAAGAGTTCTGCCGACTGATGAGACGTGCTCATGGGCGATACACGTGTATCGAGTGCACAAGAGCCCATTAGCAGACCACATGACAAGTTGGCTCAAATTACAATTATGAGATACGTCTAATTTGGCTTTTTGTCATACACCGTTGCATCTAATGCGCCGATCTCAATACTTCTTGCATTTGATTGGTTCTCTCGCATTTATGGTCCTCAAGAGTCTTTGACATTTCAGCTACTTCAAAATACCCGATAATGTAGAGTGCTGTGCAAAAACGTTTGCATCAGCCGGGACTCGAACCCGAATCTCACTCTTTTCCGGAGCGTATGCTAACCGTTACACCAACCGACGCAAAAGAGTGAGTTGGTTGAATCCCGGCTGACGCAAATCGTTTTCTGCACTAGCAATCTACATTATTGGGTATACTGAAACATCATGACACCGCAAGTGGAGTAAATAAAATGATTTCTCATTGATTATTGATACTTCAAAATATGCAGAGAGACTGATTTAGCCGTTTTCGAAGTTTTGCTGCGCCAGTGGCTTGCGCATATTTCGGCAAATTCGCTTCGTCTCGTCCAAGGCACACGCTTCATTAACCACCCTACAATAATAGGAAAGGGAGAAGCACAATTCCAAAATATATTCATCCTTCTGAATCATCAATATTATGGCTACTAAGACAAATTGCATCGGCAGAATCACTTAATATAGTGTTTATTTGTTCAATTCCAATAGAACTTCAATGAAAAGAGAATTTCTGTACATGTTTTGTCCGTCATTATGCACTCTTCGAGAAAAAATTATGACTAAGGATTGCGAAATGTCATTGATTCTACAGATTTCATCACGGATATAAGAAAAAAGATAAAAGGCACAATGGTAAAGGTGCATAACTGCGTAGATGGCGAGAGAACTTGGAACTCATGATTTACAAATCGGTTTCCAAGTAATATGTTCATACTGTCATTATTTGTATTGTCGTGAAAGTTCTGATCCTGGTGCTTAGCGCCGCTGGTTCGTCTCAAAATCTAAAACCGCCGTTTTTCAGATTCTCACCTAAGTATGTTGTCCATTCCTATAGACGACCGAAGCTCATGAGTTTATTTCGCCAGTCAATCCGAGGACAAGTGTTATAGGCCGAATAGGTTATTGAAATGAAATCAATTTGATATCTGTGAAAGTACTTTGCTTCTGTTTAGAGTTCTGTATAACCGACAATAAAATGATGTTTTCAATCTGAAGTGCAACGCAGGTGCATGTAAGGCACCTTTCAACGAAAATGAAAGAGTTGATTGATAATGTTTGCACGGAAACATTTAAATTAGATCTCATTCATTGAAAAGTGTAAAATCAGCGATCATTTATAAGGATGACAATCAACCGTTGGTTATATCGCTCACAAGGGAATGTTCTTAGTGACACTACTGCTTCTTTATGGCGCGGTTAGTTAAGTTTATACTTTCCGTATTTATATACTACATTTGGAAAAGATCTACAGTGTTTTCAGCTTCCGCGCTTTGGTATGTGTGGTGGTCGGTTTGAAGCCCGTAAGTGCCACTTATGTTCATTCATCGTATACTACGTTCGTTGCGGAACATTATCAAATATGGTGTTCTGAATTAAACAGACAAAATAATTCAACCTAATTAAGCATTTGGATGTGATGACAAATTTGTCGATGATGTCGATGATGAACGATACGAATCGAACAAGCTGCTCTCATTGCCATTAATTCACTTCGCTGCAAGGGCTGTACTAGGGCAACTTGGGATTTGCCACGTGGAACTCATATGAATAGACTGGTAAATCTGTTTGACTTGTACTATGCAACTACATTTAGCGTGTTATAGACCAAAGATAGAGCATCTATGTGATGAACATTATAGGCATGGAATTGCAGTCTTGAAGAAATAGCTCAGAGAATTGTAAATGGCTGCGTACGTGATCCAAACGTGATGATAAGCAATGGGATCATATCTTACACTGTTAGCCTAAAAAAATCATTAGAAGGTGAACACCGATTATTTGAAAACTGTCGTACTGAACTTTATTATTACAGCTATGAAACCAGGTTATTGCTACTCCGGCACAATGAGATATCCCCTTCAAAGCGCGTTGCAAGATTGGGCAAACCCTCCGGATGATTGGCCAGCTAACAACACGTTCAAGCGAAGATCTTACTTACCTCTTATCGCCTTTTCAACGTGGGTCTACTTTATGTCAACCTTCGTAGTGGTGGACATTGCAGTATTTCTTTAGCTGCTTCGTGCAAACACAACTGATGTTGGGTGCTCTGCTGCGGTCTGTACTAATAGCTTCGAGCTGCTGCGTGTGTCTTTTCGGCGCCGTGAGTAAGAAAAGAACAAGGTAAACAAGATGTACACTACAGAGAACTCATTTTAATGCTATTATAGGAATCTGATGGATGGAGAACAAGTCTACATACCTGGAGATCCGTGTGTAAATGGCCAAGAATGTTCTGTTGGAGCTGATCGTGGAATGTGTGAAAATGGACTCTGCGTGATCTCTATGACTTACTAGTACAACAGCGGTACCAAACACGACTACAACGACATCGCACAACATCAACAACAACGACTAGAAGGAGAAGCACTGATTGCCCAAGTACTGCTTTCAGCTCGACGTTTAGAGAGGTCGCTTTAGGAATGCATAACAATTTCAGGTAATAGAGTTTTATATAGATGAAGTAATGTTCTCAAGTGACTATGAGGAATACTAAAGAAAAAAAACACACATCCAGACGGCATGCTCATGGCTAGATCGGAAAATTGAGCGAAAACACAGCAAAAACTCTCTGCTTACTTTCGGTGTAGTAATTTTTGAAAAATTCACAACATTCAAATTAGATAAAGGTTGAACTAAGAGGAAAGTTGAAATTATATTTTATAGAGAAAGAGAAGATCTCATTTTTAGATCTTTGGTTGCCACAGGTCGAGCAAGAAACGGTGAGTATCCAAACGAGAACGCACCACCGGCTTCACGGATGGATTTGATGGTAGAATTGGCTTTTCGTTAGGCCTTCTCTTTTACGGTATACAATAATGCTTTCAATTAGCCCTTCAGGAGTATGACTGCCATGCAGAACAGCTAGCACTTTCACATGCGGGATCATGCGATAGGCGAGAGATTCCACCCTTCGCTCGACCAGGTTACAGTGAAAACATTCATATCCTCGATACGACTGCGACTGATTTGTTGGGGGCCATTCAGAATGTGAGTTACAGAAGGTCGACATCATTATAACCTAGATGAACTCTGCAGAGAATACCTAAGATGTTATGTAAATGGATATATTCTATTAACTGCAGAAATATTCGTCTTGCGTATTGTATGTTCATTTTTATTCAACTCATACAGGCGATAGCAAGCTTTATTTTTGAACTCCGTGGAAATGGCATTCCTTCAAACATGATTTTAACGCCTCAAGTATTCCAACGTACGCGAAGAACGGTTACGAGGGTTGCCAAGGTTTGCGAAATCACCTGAATTACTTAGGCCAAAAGATATTTTGTTTCTCAAATTATAAGCTTTTTACAGGTCCTTTGGGGATCAAACAGATTCGTGGGTTGCGCAACCGTTTTATGCCGTGGATTTTACTTTACTTCTTGCATGTACCGTAATCCGTAAGGCTTTAGACCGTTATTTATTTTCTCATATTCTAAAAAGTGATGAGTTTTGCTTTAGAGTGAACGTGGTCGGACAAAGCATCTACACGATAGGTGCAGTGTGTAGCGCCTGTCCAACTGGTCCTAACAATTGCAATCTAGCCATCGGACTGTGCTCTTATTAAAACACTGATGTGAACAACTTCTGTTAGTCAATAAATATATAAAAAGTTGGATTTCTATGACAAGGAAAATTAACTAATCAAAGTACTTCCTGTGATTTATTGCTAAATAATTCTTGAACGACTCAATGAACTAAGCAACTAGTCGCTACCTAACTCAAAGTAGCTTGTTTCTTCTTTCTGACACAAGTGAGTCAGAGCATTCACCGGAATTCGTGCTAGAGGGCAAGAGGTGACAATGAGCAACTGAGGAAACGAGTTATGATGACTGCGCACTCAGGCATATCTTGTTGTATCTTAAAGCTCGCTCGAGTATGTTCTTAGTTGTGACCACCGCGTCGTGCCTTCCGCTTCTTCGAAATGTAGATGGCCATGTAGGTTGTATGCATCAGCTAGTTTTATACGAACTTCTAGTTGAACCTGATTCGAAATTCAATGGAGTGATGCACTGCTTCTGATAGAATCTTACGTCCTTATTCGCCAAGACTTATTGATAATATAATGAATGAAATCACTATGATAGTATGGGAGCAACGTAATAAAAATTCATTCAAGCCTTGCAATCATTGTTGAGCCTACGCATGGTCATAGTGGTCATGTCAAGGAGGGCTGACTTATAGAGCTCGATACACGTGTTTTCGATCTTGCACGATCCTTACGTCCAGTCGGGCGTGACGTCGTTCGCTAACTCAATAGTTGTGGGCGCTGGGTGCACCCACAGAGCATTAGTAAAAGTATGCGACAAGGGGTAACCTGCCCGACTGACGAGTCGCAAGGATCGGAACACGTGAATTGGGCTCTATAAGTCAGCCCTCTTGACAGATCACTGACATGCGTGGCTTCAAAAATGATGCTAACTCATATCGAAAATTTTGAGCTGTGGTCTTAGGAGAAACACTCTCTAATACGACAAAGTTATGATGGTCACTTGAAAATTTCTTTAAGATTCTGCGCCCTCTCGTGTGTGCATTTGTCAAGTGTTCTCTCATTACCGCAGTTACTGAAGTTCACACCTAAACGATAAATAGTCAACCGTCTTGCTGAGTGGCTGCTATAGCGTCAGTCTAACTTTTTCGCAACAACTTCGTCTTGATGGCTTTCATTTACTTAGAACGTTGCATAACAATAGGTGATATGTGAGATGTCTTTTTCAGACACTTCCCACGCGGCGTGCATATTCATTTGTCATAGGAGGTAATTCCATAGGCATCTTTCCGCATAAGTTTGAGTTATTTATGTCATAGTGCCTACTCTTCTAGTCGACCTGCTTTTCAGTGGTTGCCTCTTTCATACCCATATGAGATGGCTAATGTCGTCGTAAAGCGTAGTAACTCATTCTCTGTTTCTTTCCCCATTCAAACATTTGCAGATGTCCCGAATTCTAAAGAGGGCTTTTAGCACCTTTTTCCCGTAAGAACATTCTTCATACAACAACGCTGATTGTGGAAGTTGAACTTAATGTTCTCGTTCTCTTTCCGAATATTCTATAGAATAGTCACAAATCATTCGAAAGCTCAAATCTCTGACTGCAACACACGTTG